TATTCCTCAAGTTTTCTCTATCTGAAAATGTCTCCCGACGCTTTTCTCTCTCCTGACATCACCGCGATCCCCAACACGACGCGCAACCGCTATCTCAATCTCGCTGACAAACTTTGTTGCCGCTGTATAAACTGCGCCGATAACCACATTTACACTCCAATGTGTATGCGCAAGTACACGCATATGTAGCTTCCTCGTCTCATTCACGAGATGCTCGGCTCGATTGGTTATTGGCTCGATAAAACGGAAAAAAGCAGTGTCACTCGCGAGGTCACTCGCCGCTCTCGAATTTCCCCTTTTCTCTCTCTCTCTCTTTAACATTTTCTTAATATTTCGTGGTCACCAAATCGTGAGAATCTTGCTAGAGCTACGTAAAGACTGTTTTCTTTATTCGGCCGATGATGTGTTAATCGTTTAATTTCTATAATCGTTAGCGTCCGCACGCGGTTGGTTCACATTTACGCAATGTACGCAATAAACAGACAATCTACTAGGCTGAGATGTTTTTATATCTAACAACAGTTATATCGTTAAATATTTCATACGGTTTGGAAAGTCATACCGACATAGAGAGTGAGAGAGAGAGAGAGAGAGAGAGAGACAGAGAGAGAGAGAGAGAGACAGAGAGAAGCACACTGGGGGATTACACAAATGTTTAAGAATACATATTCCAAACCTATTGCAATTATTGCTTTAATCGATGTGAGATCGATGTGTTAATTAAGGAAAAATCCATTTGGAATTTTTCTGCTTTATCAAATCTTTTTACCACACATTTTATTAACGTGTGTTTTTGTATAATTATATTTTTATATAATTACTGCGTGTTATTAATTTCACTAGAAAAACAAAAAAATTAAACGTCTAGAATAGACAACATCTTAATTATGCGAATATGACAAGTCATAGTTCATAAACAAGCATAACAGATAAACAGCGTTACAAAATTGAAATATGATATAAATAGTCTCATAAGCGTATTTTCGTGACATATAAATACATTGTACATGTAGTTGGTTAAAAAGTTTTTCAAATTATGTACATTCGTATTAACTTTGCTCTATCGAGTGCAAATTTATACAATTAGTCAGTGTTAAATATAAGTGAAATACAAATTAAAATTCACTTATATTTGTTATATATTTAATAAATACATTTATTACGTAAGCCTTCATTATTAACAAATTTGTTAATCTAAGGATACACGAAACAAAAATAATTAAACAAAATTTTCACGCACATTTTTTATTTTTTATTATTAATCTATTGTTGAAAAATTAGAAATTTACTTAAAATTACATTTTTACATCAGAATTCATCATTTATGCAGCCTTTACTACGTAAATAATACTAAAAATACTTATTTATATCTAATATTTTTCAACTTTTATTTTTATCACGAATGATACATGGAATTCATATTCCGAACAATAAATTCTTTTTTGTGCGTAAAAATCTAATTCACGAGTATAAGGATTATTTTACAAGATATGGAATTTTAAGCAATCACAAGAAGATTAATTTTTATGATAAAAAATTTATACAGAAGTTGTTATAGATAATGTAGTTAGAAACACAAAGTATCAATAATATGAATCAGAAGTAAAATTATTGTTAAATATTTAATTTAAAATTAATATTAGTTTCTCCTTATAAATTATCGCATTGTAAATAGTAAGATAATTATTGCATACATTTTGGTTTATCAATTAACTGTCTATATGCCAGCGTGTTGCATATATGCGGTGTTAATTATAAATAAAATGTATGTTATATATTCTATTCTATTATATTTGAATGAAATTTTCGTATTTACAAGAAAAATTGATTAAAAATGTAATTCAATATATAAGTTTTAAAATAATCAACGTTTCAGGCTAAAATATAATAGATTTTTTAGTCGTATTGCAATAACATTTTATTCAATCTCTTACTCTGATCAAATATCACACTATAAGCACAATGGTTATTTATTTGAAACGCAAAATCTAATCGGTTATGGCAAAATAGGTCTTATTTAATTTCAAAGTAATACAATTTATATGCAATATAAAATGCATTAATTATGTTATTGTTAAAAAAAAAACAACATATTACAACAAATATTGTTGAAAGAATAATAACGAAAGTTTTAATATTTATAGATCATAATACTAATAGAAAAAAAAACTTCATTGGTACTTGAAATAAAATTCACATTATATTTTTAGATTTGAACTATTTTTTAAAAAAGAAAGAAGGAAATTTTTTTTGTTTTAAATACATAAAAATAGGATCGACTGCGTGTAATCGTATCTTGTCGAAAAATAATTTAATCTAATCAAATTGCTTATGATAGTTACCCGGACTAAATATTTGAAGTTCGTATCAGTAGTTGATAAGTACGGAGAAAGTTATTTTTGGTAAAACCTTTCCCTTTTTCCAATTATATATGGACATACTGTAGAGTGCTTAGATGCTGGCAAAAAAAAAAAATTTGCCCTTTAAATGTCTTTTCTATTTGAAAAGTATTATTTTTTGTTAATTATGAAATTATAACAATATACATTGTTTATTTTTGTTGCAATTTTTACGGTATGAAAGCTGAGCTTTAAAATATTGAGCTACTTTCTATTTTTTTTTAACAAGCCAATGATACTTAAATAAAAATTAGTCAATAAGAGATTAATAATTTGCAAATTAAGTATTTGCAGTACTACTTGAAAATACATGAATTTTCGTTTTAATACCCTTGACTACATTAAAAAATATCTTCTTGAAAGCTTTATATTATTTAAAGAAGATAAATATAAATAATGTCTTATTTGGTATTCATAAAATATAATTTTTAATGTAACTATAACCAATGGCTTATAGTATTAAACTAATGTATTTGTATTTATTATTTTAGAGATTTTAATTATGAAAATTTTTAACACATAAACTGCTGAAATGAAATTTAAAGTAACCAATGAACTGTTTAAAATGCAAATATTCAAAACAGTTTCAAGTAATATACTTTATTATAGCTGTTAAAAATGTTGGTTCGAAGAACATTATATATTTTTTATTACATATATATATAGACATATTAACATTACTCATAGAAAAAATTACGTTTACAACACATGTGTTTCAGCTTTGCTACGTAAAAGATCGAAGGAATAATCAATTGATGATCAATTCTATGTTAAATTCTTTCATTTAATTTTTTAATAATTGATTAGTTGAGTCATATAATTCATAAGAATTCTAAAAATGCAGAAAATTCATTAATATATGATAATTGTTTAAATGATTAGGTATATTAATGTAGTAATCATTTGTAGCTTAAGTGGTTAATAAGAGCATTTTATTGAAGCACTATAATTTGATAAAAGGCTCCCTAGAGTCATCTTCATAAATCTTTTTAAATTAGCACAATACGTTTAAAAGGCTTTGGCAAACAAAGTGCTGAAATTATCATTATTATTATATTCTGTTATTTGTATTTATTTCTACATTTTCTATTTTTCTATTATATTTAGCTGTTAGATTTTTATTTGAACTGTCTTTTTTTTTTTACAAATAAAGTTACATGAATACTATATATTCGAGGCGTGTATTAAGAATTTTCAGTACGCAATATCGACATACTTTGATTAATTAACCTGATATTCAAGTGATTCATAGGCTAGAAAATATAGAATCAAAGATTTTCAGTTGGATAATAAATGTCTTATTGGCAAATGTAAATTAATCATAAGATGATACGTTGCACACGGCATCGACTTTCGATAATAAACAGTGCACAAATTTTGATGAATTGCCCTTGTTAAATTACGTTTTGTCTACTTATAAGATATTGCATAGCGCTTAAGTATGAGCTTTAAAACTCTTGCGATCCATTATTTACATTTTCTTATTCACTATTACTGGCACGTCGGATAATATAATATACTACTTAGTTTTAATTGGCTCCTTGAAACAATCTACTCGTAAGGTCCTACAGGATTATCTGCATTTTTAATTTGAATATTTACCGAATCGAATAATCAGTTTCACGAACATATTTCGATTGTTTGACAAGGATTTATTAAACTATTTGCAACTACTGTGGCTAAATTTTTTCTTGCAAAGAAGAAAGAAAAATAAAGCACTTTAACGGCGGTAAATGTTTGCATAATAAGTTAACGAGGTGGAAAATTATAATTATTGAATTAATGATGCTGTTCGGATATTTGGATGAGCAGGATCGGCTCCATGGTAGCCCAGGAGGAGGATGCAAAGAAAAGCAGAAGAGCGCAGGTCCCAATTGTCCTAATCCAGAAGTAAGAACAATATGTGAAATATTTTCAGATAATCCGGTGCTGTGTGATGCTGGCTTGGCGGACCTGACGGTCGCCCTGGAGGTAAACCACGCGAAGGTCTACGGCGTGGCGAACGACTGTCCCACGCCCTCGACAACGACGAACGAGCCGACGCCCATGCCGCCACTGCCCCCGACGCTGCTGCTCGCGGCGGCGGCTGCCGCCTCCGGTGGCAACGTCTCCTTCGCAGCGACGCTCGAATAGAGGCCCCCGAGCATCGCGACCCTCGCCTATGTCACTACTGTCTTCTCTATGTCCGTCTGTCTCTCCGTACGAATGCAATCGATCGATCGTAGCAGCCGCCGCCTGTTTTTCAATACTTTTCCGAGTTCGTCTTGCTCCACCTTAATATGAACGCGGAGTGCGAGAAGGGCTTAGGCTGGTGATTAAGGGGTGGTAAGGAGAAGAAGGAGAATGAGAAGGAGGAGGAGGAGGAGGAGGAGGAAGAGGAGGAGGAGGAGAACGGGGTAGGGTATGCGTAGGAGGTGCGAGGGAGGGAGAGAGAAGGCGCGAGTAAAAAAAAAAGTTGATGTGCGTCAATTGTTTGGAAGAAAAGCGAGACTCTCGGGATCGCGATTGGAGAATACGCGTTTCGGCCCTACGCTGCCCTGTTTTTTCTTGTTTTTGTCATTCGTCCCGACGCTTCGGACAATCGTTTTTCTCTTATACGAGGTTGGTGCCGAGCTGTTGCGAGTAAAATTGATAATTTGCGTGAGCCAATGGAGCGATTATTTGGTTCGACGAAATGTGAGGCGAGTATGAGCCGTGGTGGGGAGCATTTTTTTAGAGGTTTTATGAATTTTGTATTCTGACGAGTCAAAGTTACGGCCTATTTACGGCAGAGAGTTTGCTAATTGACGCATGCACGTATTGGATGCTGGGGAAAATATATTATTCTCGAAAGTTTTGCGCCTTTCCCGGCCTAGTTGTCACATTTCGTTGGAATGACAATTGTTTTTATTAGCCATTGCATATAGGGAGGTAGATGGTTACTTATTGTGTATAAATTATCAATTTTAATGTTTTAACATTTTACGTAGAAAATGCTTCACTCGTCCATTAAGTTTGAGCAGCAGTAAAACGAAGAAGGTCACAGCAATCGCTATAGATTACTTTTTGAAAATATTATCGGAGAAAAGATTTCAAACACGTATTAATAATTACTTATATGCTCGTGTATTATAATTAAATACGGTAATAAAATTACACTGCTGCGTCGACAAACTAATGTTTTAATGGGAAACATTGCAATATTTTTTTTTTTATAAAGTATCGGTTAAATACGTTTCTATACTTCATAGAGTGAAAGTGATCGTCTTAAAGCTATTTTACAATATATAACGAGTAATAATTAATGAATTCAATGAATTAAAAAGAAAAAATTATTTTTTAACTGTTCGATTATTTTCATGATGGTATTTCTAAAAGGATATATTAAATGGGTGATCGATTTTTTGTTTTAAACAAGTATTTTTCAGTATAATGTTTCGTTAAAGTTAGCGAAGAGATTGCATGGCATAAAGGACAGATGGCAAAATAAATAGTCTCGCTTATATTCGAATTATTCGTATACGTGTATAGAGAGTAGTAATAATAATGAGTATATTTTAGAAAGTAATAGAAGAAGAAACGCATGTAAATAATTTTCACGCATTCATGACGAGCTCGTTGTAAAATTAAGCTAATTGTTTTTTACATTGAGCGATTGCATCAGACTCTCAATGAACGAATTATGTCATTAATGGTTTCACAGTAGAAATCGACATATTTCATTACATCGGTATATTTTTGTCAATAATAATAAACGATAATTTTATAAAATTTACTAACGCAAGTATTACATGTTATTCGGGCAGATTTTTATTGTTAATCCGTGGGGATACGTATAGGCGATAGACGACTAATCTTTTAGTCGGGAGGGATGAATGAAATTTTACGACAAAAGAAAGTCGACGCCAGGACGTTTGGGCGTTAGAATCGTAGCGGTGTCTGCCGTTGGGAAAGCCGAGGAAAATCATCGCTGGCTAGTAGCGCAAGTGCGCAGGTAAGATCGAAGTGTCGGTCAGGAGTTTGTCGATACATCCGGCA